ACGCACGCACGCACACACACACAACACACACACACACCATACACACAGCAATATTATATATATAAGTATTATATTATAAAACCACACCACCACGCCGCGCGACGCACCACGCACACGGCACACGCTCAACGGCACCATACAACCCGCGCTTGGATGATACTATATAAAGCGTCGTAACATAAAAGACTTCCCGCGACTTCGACACGCACACGCACACGCACACTAACACGCACACGGCACACGGCATACCACACACACACGCGGCGCATGCGGCACGCACACACACACATACGCACGCACACGCGCGCACGCCACACACGCACACGCACACGCTACCACGCACACGCACACTCAGCACGCAAAACGGCACCACGCACACGCACCAGCACACGCACACGCACGCACGGCGCACCTGCGCACGCACACGCACGCGCACGCACGCACGCAACACACACACATACGCACGCACAACCGGGCGCGCACGCACACACACGCACACGCACACGCACACGCACACGCGCACTGCGCACGCACACGCACACGCACGCCACGCACGCACGCACGCACGCACCACACACACACACACACACACACACACACACACACACACATTATTATATTAGTATAAAGTATATATATAAACACACCACACGCGCGGACGCACACGCACACGCACACGCACGCACATACAACCCGCGTTGGCATGATAACTTTAGCGTCGTACATAAACGACTTCCCGCGTAGGCCTATATTCAGTTACACGTACGTCAATATACATGAGTTCGGGATTCGACAAAAGCTCGGTGGCGATGTTTGCTATCTTCTTCTCTCCACCAGACAGGCCGCCTGTGAGTTGATCTCCAATACCTGTGTATCAGAAGATGATTGAATAATTTCATCGGATCTCTATAGTTAACATGCTAGTAAAGTTTATCTTAGTTAGATGCAAATTATGTTAAAAAGAACTTACACTGACGAAATTTTTGTCCATCTTTCCCATAGACTTCCTCAGGTCTGATGTTTCAGTGTTGCTATCTACCTGGAAACACCAGACCTGAGGAAGTCTATCGGAGAGATGGACGAAAATTTCGTCAGTGTAAGTTATTTTTAACTTAAATTGGATCTAACTGAGATAAACTTTATTAGCTTTGTATCAGAAAAATGTGACAGCAGATGTAGGTGCAGCGCAATACAAAGTCAGCACAGTTATTATAATACCAGGATAATTATTATTCACTCCTGCTAATACGTAGGTATAGGTATATATAGTACGAATAATACAGGGACAGTTCAGCTTATTGTTGATACAGAGATGGTTGCAATATATACGATTTTAGCATATGTGCCACTATAGATGGCGTGCATGTCAGACAAGGTGCTAGTCAATTTAAATGTTACAGCAAACAATTAAAGTTATAATACAACAATAAAAATTACAAGATAGATATAATAAGAAAAGGACGTGGAAAATGTAGCAGTGCATGGTAGTAATAGTAGTGGTAGTCGTCGTCGTCGTGTTGTGGTTGTTGTTGTTGTTGTTGTTGTTGTTGTTGTTGTTGTTGTTGTTGCTGACGAAACGGAAGAAGAAGAATACGAAGAAGAAACTGAGGAACAAGAACGAGACAAGTCAGTGCGCCATTAAAACAGCACTTACGAACATCGAGGCACTTGCGAAGGTCTAGAGTCGCCACTATTTCGTCGACTCTGCGAATTTTCTCCTCGTATCTCATCGTGTCAGGAAGTCGGAGTAAGGCCATAAACTGAAATCCAACATGGCGACATCGATAAAAGCTTCATCACCCCGTCCCGTAAACCCAAACGCTACCTGACTAGTAATTCACTTACGTCGGCGAGCGACTGAGTCTCAAGAGTACGTGGATGCGGTCATCACGCGGTAGAGAGCAAACGTGACTAGTTACTGAATGGGAAAACTCGAAAAAATTCTAAGCTCAAAAATGGAAAAATGAGAAAAGCTCGAGAAGCTGTAATCGCTAAACAGCTTGTGTCTAGGGAGTACTGTGTTTCACATCGAATGTCTTTCGCAGGCGTACGCCCGAATGAATACGGTTGTATTAAAATGGAAATCACCACAGAGGGTGATATTTAACACCGTTACATGTCAGAGAAGTGCGTGAAATCGAACTACGAGAGCGCGGGACGTGTAGAGTCATATTTTAATTTTTAGCTTTCTTCTCTCCCCCTCCCCTTCCTCCTCCCCTCCTCTGCTTCCATACCCTCCGCTCCCATCATATCCCATTTTTCTCCTTTCTTCTCCCACCGCTGCCGTTCCCGCCCTTTCGCTCTCCTACCCCCTCCCGTCCTCTATCCTCCCGTCCAATTCCCCTATCTCCTCCCCCTCTCTCGCCTACCCCTATTTCATCCCCCTCCTTCTCCTACCCCTCGCCTATCTCTTCCTTCACACGACGGAATGTCTTGCATCGAGGACGACGTTTTCCCGACTACAAGTGGCAACGTCGTCAGCGATGTAACCGAACTATAG